CTGTTTCCTTTGCTGTGCAGAAGGTTTTTATCTTGATGAAGTACCAAAAGTTCATTTTTGCTTTTGTTTCACTAGCTTTTGGAGATGTATCTTGAAAGAAGTTGCTGTGGCCGATGTCAAAGAGGTTACTGCCTAAGACTTGCTTTTGAGACAACCTTCAGCATCATGATCTGGCTACGGTTTGCACATGTCCCTCTTACCAGAAGTGCCTGGGGTTCTCCAGATGTGACCTGACCAGGGCAACATGAGTGAAGTCATTCTTTCTCTTAATCTGCCCTATCTACTTCTGGAGGTTGTGTCCCATTTTTGTGCAATCACGTCATGCCCTCGACTCTCATTAAATTTGAGGTCAGCTAACACAGAGACACTTAAGCTTGCTCAAGGAGATAAGGAGGAGGGAGAGAGGCCAATAGGAATGTTTCCTTACTGCCTCTTTTTTTCTCCTCCATTCCAAGGCCGCCTTAGAAATTAGGTCTCTATCCACTAACTGTGTCAACAGCTGATTGGGTAATGATGCTGGGAATAGAATGGTCGGTCAAAGGTTCTATAGTTCCCAGAGAAGTGGCATCAGAACTCAGCCCCTGACTCCTCCACAAGCCATTCCTGTCTCAGTCTCGCCAGCTAATACAACCATAAATTAATGTGCGGTGGCTCCTTCACCTCTGGCTTCCTATCCCAGCAGGTCTGGGTCCTGTCTCCAATGAGGAAGATTTCATTTCCGGTATTAGAGAAAAGTGGTCACTCTGACCTACGATTCCCTCTCCAGGGAAAGCTTGGACCATGCCTGGCCTTTGATTTATGCATCTCCATTGCCTACAAATTTATTACCCAGCACTCTCGCCTTTGGTCCCTCACTCCCTCCTCCTCCTCTCTGGCCTTTAAGCACCCCCAACCCTTCTCTTCATGGCGTCACCTTCTGACTTCTCCTGTCTTTGTTGGCTAAATGCAAGCCAAGGTCTGAGGCAGTGTGTGCGCTGGAAAATGAACTGGGATAGTTAAGTGAACTGACACTGGTTTAGTGACTATTGTGTACAAACTTCTGTGCTCAATGTCTAGGGCATTGAGCCTTTCAGCCTTACAACAGCCCTACAGCCTTTCAGCCTTACAACAGCCCTACAAAATAAGCATCTCTAATCCCATTTTACAAATGGGCAAATAGACTTACAGAGAAGTGACTTCCGTGATGGGCTCTGAAGCCTGTGTCCTTTCTACTGCAGTATGCTACTTTGAATCTTGGCTAACATTTACTGAGAGTAAGCAAATTACTCAAGTTATCTCTCCCCAAAACACTGCTATTACTTCCATTTTACTGATGCTGTAACTAAGAGCAGCATCGAAGAACTTGCTGGTGATCCACATAGCTATTAAGTTACAGAGCTAGGATTTGAATCTGTGATTCTAGGGCCAGGTATTTCAATTCAGCTCTGTACAATCAGGAGCTCTGGTTCTTGCTCTGCCCTTGTTACTAACTTACTGTGTTCCCTTAGACTATTTTCTCACTCTAAACCTCAGGTTCCCCATCCACTCAAAAGGAGACTTGGTTCAGCTGAGTTCCAAGATTCTCCTTGAGGAAATGGCTGGGCCTTTGGAGATAAAGCATTTGGAAATCTTGAAGGAATTTCTCTTTCCCACCTCATTTTATATTTGTAGCTTGTTTTTGTGACTGTCTGCATCAGACAGTCACTCTCCATTGCCCCTAAAATATAATACTTCACCATGACTTTGAAGAGCCTTGATGGTCTGATAACTGCCAAACTGACTAGTCTCTCACCCATTCTTTGTGCTAACCATTTCAAAGAACTGGGTGTTCAGCTTTCTCTCATCTAACTTTAGATGGGCTCTTTCCTCTGCCTCCCCATCTACCTGAAAAACCTGTCTTGTCATTGAAGTCTTGGCGCAGATGTTACATCCCTTGGGAAGATTTCTGAGCCCCCAAATTAATGATTAGGTGTCCACTTTATATATTCTCAGAGCACACAGCATGTCTCCAACTCAGCACTCTGACCCCAAATTAGAGGTTGTTAGTATTTGATGTCTCCTGCCATTGACTTACAAAGATGCTCTAGGCTTACACCAGGACAAAAATAAGGCTGATGATGGGGGGTGGTAGTGTTAATAGTGATACTTTCTAACCTGTATCAGGGACTTAAGATGTGCCAAACACGTTTCTAAGAGTTTTGCGTGTATTAATTTAATGTAATCCTCACTATAACTTTATGAGGTTGGTGAATGTTACTCCCTTTTTATAAATGAGGAAGCAGAAGGAGTAAGTAGCTTTTTTAAAAATACAGAAAAAGCAGAACAGCACCCTTGAGTACAATGATAGGAAACACTTAACATCTGGATGTGTGCCCTACCTGGTTTCTTGCTGTCAGTCTTGCCCTTCCCCCAATTAGATTCTCCTCAAGGTAGCCGGGAACATTTTTAAATAGTCCAGCTCTGAATCCGTTACTTTGCTGCTTGAAACCCTTTGATTACTCCCCTATTTACCCTCCAGACCACAATCATAGATAACATTTATTGAAGGCTTGTTACAGATTCATCAGTGCTGTTTTTGTTTTGTTTTTTAAACAAGACTTTGTGGTAGATACAGGTATTATTCCCATTTCATGGATAAGGAAACTGGATCACACCTGGTTAAATAACTCCCTCAATATCACAGAGCTGGTAAGTGGCTAAGCCAGGATTTGAACCTGCGCAGTCAGGCTCTAGAGCCTGGATGGTGTACCATTATTCTGTACAACCAACACCCCAGTTCCTAAGCTCCAATGGCCTGGCCCCTCCACTTCTCCAGTTTCCCACTGTGTCCTACTTACACACAGTATTCCCGCTGTAAATCCTCAGAACTTCTATGTAATCCCTTATCTTTATGCCTTTACCTCTGCTTCCTGTTATGCCTTTGTCTTCTTTAACTCCTACTCATTTTTGAGACTCAACACAAGTTGCCCTTCTACTAGGAAGCCTTCTTGGATATTCTCATTCCTACCTAGGCATCTTCCTCCACTTCCTTCCCCCTACGCCCCAGCCCACACCTCCTCTTATTATTGCCCCTGCTACCTGTGTTGTAATTTTCCATCTGTCTGTCTTTCACACCAAAGAGGGAGCCCCACCATAAAATAAGTGCTCAGTAAATGAGCAGTCAATGACTTTATCTCCTGTAACTTCACAACAGCCCCCCTTTTCAAGTGAAGAAACGGGTTTAGAGATGTTAAGTGAATTTCCCAAGGACACAGAGCTATTAAGGAACAGAGCAAGGGTTCAAACCAGGAGGCGAAAGAAATGAACTCCTCAAGCTCCTCGTTGAGAGGTGCCTGCCAGTGGGGAGAGAGGACTGTGGGCAGAGTGGCAACCTGAGTGTGATTATGAAGCTATGAATTCTTAGCACCTCAGGAAATATTCCACCCAAGTGGTGAACTATACAAAGAGGACTTTTTGAAAGGTACCTCATAAATCGTGCCCACAAAACATACACACAGAAGCCCAGCCCCTTTCCAGCCGCCATGCAGGTGCCTAACACAGTCTCCCATTTGTGGGGTCTGTTGTCATAAAACACCCTCCCTCCTGGGGTCTCAGAGGGGCATGGAGAGGACAGCAGGAGAGAGCTGCTCGTTTAGCCCTTGGGTATCTTGAAGATGCTGGAATGCAGAGAAAGTTGGATTCTACATGGTGACGGGCACCTTGACGGTGATGCTAATGTATGGTGTGACCCAGGAAAAGAATATCCCTTTCCCTCTCTGAGCCTCAGTTTTCACATCTTTAATAAGAGTAGGTCAGACTAGGTCAGTGGGTCCCAGTTGGGGCGATGCCCCCCCGCCCTGCAAGAAGACAATTCCCAATGTCTGGAGACAATTTCATTGCTATGACTGGGGCAAAGGAGTGCTATTGGTATTTAATAGGCAGAGGCCCAGGGATGCTGCTAAACTTCCTACAAGACAGCCCCCACAACAGAGAACAGAGAATGTCCTTAGTGCCATCATCGAGAAACCCAAGGGTCTCAGAGATCTTGCTAGCTTTAATTTTCTGTGCAGCCATCAGACCTCCTCAGGGATCCTCTCTCTGTTACTGGTTCAAGGGCTCTAGATAAGTTACTAATGATGATCACCACAGGACAGGCTGATTCTTGCTTAGACTAGTGTTCAGTTTGGCCTTGATCCCAAGACACCATCATAACAATTCTTTATAATCATAGATATCATTTATTGGGAGCTTACTCTGCACCAGGCTTTGGGCATTTCTCATGGTAGATCTTACCACCACTCATGATGCTAAGACCATCATCACTATTTTAAAGATGAGAAAAATGAGATACAGAGAAGTCTGATTTGGGGACTTAGATATTAAGGCTTTGATGAAAGATTTCCAAATTTCCTGACTGTGAGAAAAGAAAAAATATGAGAGAACTAGAGAAACACAAAAGCAGAAGTTAGAGAGGGACTTTGTGGGTATTCAGGCCTAGATCCAAATGCCCAGCCCCAATGGTCAACTTGATGTTTGACCTTGGTCACGCAATGTCATTTCTCTGAGCTGTGGGCTCCACATCCATTTGGTGTGAGTGGAAAGAACAATACGTTCAGGGCTGTTGTGAACATTACGTAAAATCTTAAAATGTAGGTAAAGCATTTACTCTGCGTCTAGTGTGGCAGGTGTCAGTAAATTTTAGTTGTGATTGCTGTTGCTGTGTATCATTATTGTAATAATTTCTTCTTGGTCAGAGTCCCAAGGCTGGTGACCTTATAATTCCTGGGACTCTCATATCTTAGAAATGAAAATTCTGAATCAAAGGTTATATGTTGCTTTCAGTTTTTACACATTGCACAATTGAAGAGGACAAATTTGGAGGTGATTTTTGAGTGTTTGAAATACCACACTCGGGCCAGGAATGGATAGGAGAGTGTTGGGACAGGAAGTCCTCATTTCTCTGTTGACCTTTATTCACCACTCAAAGTCTTAAACCTTGATCTCGGCTTCCTTCTTCATCACTGTCTCGTCCTCTCTTTCAGGAAGGCCCACCTGATCCTGCGGCGACTAGAGAGGGTGAGCAGCCACTGCTCCAGCCTCCTGCGAAGCGCTTATATCCAGAGCCGCGTGGACACCGTGCCCTACCTTTTCTGCCGCAGCGAGGAGGTCCGGCCTGCGGGTATGGTGTGGTACAGCATCCTCAAGGACACCAAAATCACATGCGAGGAGAAGATGGTGTCCATGGCCCGAAACACGTATGGGGAGTCCAAGGGCCGGTGAGGGAGGGTGCTGCCCTCCGTGAGCACAGAGACTCTCCGTGGGAGGGGGAGCAGTACTCTCATGGATCCTGGGGCCTGGGGGGGGGGCTGGGGGACAGCTGAGGATGGGCCTGGCAGATGAGGCTTGCCAGCAAGGCCAAAGCAAACTCTTTCTCTTGTGGATAGCCGACGAGAACTTTGTAACCACTGGAATTATCCGTTTTTCTCTATCTTTTATTTTTTCTAAGATCTATTTGACTCTATCCAAGTCTCTCCTTTTTAAACTTTTTCTTATGGATAGCGGTCAGTCCCGAGGCAGGAGCTTTCAGGTGGAGACCAAGCTGCCTTTGCTCTTCTTCCTTCCTCCTGCCACACTCAGCTTCCTTCCTGCAACGGACGCTGGAGGAGACCTCTGGAGAGACAATCTGACCTCTTCAGCATCAGGAAGGAGGCCCCGAGGATTGGTGCAGTGAGGAAGCTTGGGTCTTGACGACTTTTTTTTTTTTTTTCCAGACATTATTGAGTTTGCAGGACCCCTGCCTCTTCCTGCTACCTGTGGGTCTGCCCAGAGTCCCTGCAGGACTTTCCATGCATTAAAAATTCTTATTGTCTCTCTTTCTGCTTGGGGAGTGTTTCTTGCCACTGGGGGGCCTCTGTTTATTAACTTAACAGGTATTTATTGATTACCTACTATATGCTAGGCACTGGACATGCAACTAAAGAGTGAGAGGCTCCCTGCTCTCACGGAGCTTCCAGTCCAATGGAAATTGTAGAGAAGCAGTTCAGTGCCTTCAGGCTGTAGCAGGGGAAGAATGGAGGTTATTTAGACTCATTGTTGGGCCATGAGACAAACGCTGAAATGGTTCCTAAAAAAGGGATGTCTGAAGCCCAAAGGATGGGGAGGGATAAACCAGACAGAGTGCGGAAGGATGAAATGGGTCACCATGAGCAAAAGTCCAGAAATAAGAGAAAACAGAACACATTCAAGGGCTGAAAACTCTTTTTTTAAAGATTTTATTTATTTATGTATTTATATATTTTAGCAAATGTAGAGAGTGTGTGAGCAGGGGGAGTGGCAGAGGGAGAGGGAATGTCAAGTGGACTCCGCATTGAGCATGGAGCCCGACGTGGGGCTTGATCTAGCAACCCTGAGATCATGACTGATTGAAAATCAAGAGTCTGATGCTTAACAGATTGAGCCACCCAAGCATCCCATGGGCTGAAAGCACTTTCCTTTTTTTGTTTTCTTTTTTCTTTTTAAGATTTATTTATTTACTCTAAAGAGAAAGCATGCATGAGCCAGGGGAGAAGTGAAGGGAGAGAGAGAATCCTCAAGCAGACTACACGCTGAGTGCAGAGCCTGACCCTGGCTTGATTCCAAGACCCTGAGATCATGACCTGAGCCGAAATCATGAGTCGGCCACCCAACCAACTCAACCACCTAGGCGCCCCTGAAAGCACTTTCAATGACGATAGAGACCCAAGCAGCTGGAAGGAAGAAAGCTGGAGCTAGCTGGGGTGTTGGAAGTTTGGGACAGAAAGTTTGATAGTATTTGAAGTAACTGAGAGCCACCACAGAATGTTAACAGAGTGAAATGCCAAGCTTGCTGTTTAAGAAAAATTGTTTTGGCCACAGGGGTAGAAGTGGGGCTGGAGAAGGCCCCAAAAAGGGTTACTGTTGTTATTTTCCAGGCAAGAAGCGATGGCAGCTTGGATCTTGAGGTCATGGAGAGACATTCCGCCACTGGAGTCTTCTTTTAAAGGCGAATGAACTGCTTCCAATGTGTTACCTGGGAGGGTAATGATTACAAAGAGGCATTATAGATTGTTTACATTCTGGTAATAACTCCCAGGAGCTAGCTTGGTTGAGGAAGTAAGGATGTAGGTCAGGTATTCCATAATGCAAGGATGACACCTATTAGAAGAGAGTTGGGCACTATGGGAATTCAGAGAGAGGGAGACAAACTGAATACCAGTAAAACATAAGCAGTTAAAAATATGCCTACTTCTCAGTTTTGATGAGTGCCTCTGAGGTCAACAGTCCCTTTCCTGAAAATCTACATGCTGAGTCCCCCTCAACCACCACCACCTCCACCCGCCGACTCTGCTACACACGGAGAAACAAAGCCCAGGGACACTCTTCCAGACAACTCAGGTGCCTAGAGATCTGCTCAACTTCCAGCAATCTAAACTCAAAGATACTCTTTCAAGAAGTTTTATTATAATTGGATTTACATTTCTGTAAGTATGTAGGTGGAGTTTAGATGAATTAATTTCTCCTATAGTGTTGCTGAGTCTTTTACTCTTAGGCATAATATAGTAAGAGAGGAACAAATTTCTTAGAAAGAAAAGGAAGAAAAGTAATAGTTTTTTCATTGAACACTTGCCTATCTTTGTTAGTTGCCTGTCTTAGTTTCGGTATAATAGAACACTGGTGTAAACAACACAGATTTGTTTCTCATAGTTCTGGCACTGGCAAGTCCCAAGATCAGGGTGCCGACAGATTGAGTGTCTGGTGAGAACCTCCTGGTTCATAAACAGCTGTCTTCTTGCTGTGTCTTCACACGGTAGAAGGGAGGAGGGAGCGCTCTGGGGTCTCTCCAATAAAGACACTAATCCTGTTCAAGAGGCTCCCCCCTCATGACCTAATCACCTCCCAGAGGCACCACCTCCTAATACCATCACACTAGGGATTAGGTTTCAACATAGGAATTTTAGGGGGACACCAGTATTCAGTATATATCATTGCCACATGTCAAGCCCTGTTCTAAATTCCTCTCCTGTATACCCTTTCCTGAACCCTAGGTCCCTGGCCTTCGCTGAGTCACCCCATTGTTGTAGCTTTCCATTGTCTTGACCCATCCTGAGGAAAAAATTAGCTCAACAGTTGCAGAAAATTAAACTCCCCAGTGTGCTGGGGCTGTGGTCTGAGCCTGATTAAGTTGACTCTGTCTCTGTCGCCATTCACCAGCTATTACCTTGGGTAAGTAACCTGCCATCAGAATCTTGGTTTTCTCATCAACAAAATGGGGTTAGTAATAGTCCCACATTGTGGGGTTATTATGAGGCTTGAACAAGATAAGAACTATAATGTGTTCAGCACAATGTACAGTAGGGTCTTTTTTTTCTTTTATTAGATAATATGCATAATGCTTTGAATCTTGGAGAGATGACAGGGAAGTTTTGTCTGCGAGAGACCTAGAGAATTCTGATTAAGAGAAGGAATTAATGATTAGCAGTCCTATGCGGTATGTGAACTGTAAATAGTATCAAAAGTTTAACTCAGGGAGAAGCGCTGTGATGGCAGAACTTAACGCAATGCAAGAGCCCGAGGAGAGGTGTGTGGCTTTCTCTGAGGCTCTCATAGACAGCTGTGGCCTTGGATAGCTGCTCAGTTGGCCAAAGTTGGCTGGCACCTGAGAATATATGCCATCAGCCTGTCCCCAACTCACTCAGCTGCTCATGCTCTCTCTGGTTTCGACCCCTTTTCCTGGCACTGTGGAGCCTTGTTGTTCTTCCCAGCCACTGTTAAGTCTCTCCAGAGTGGGATTCTAGAAGCTTGGAGAGACAGGTGTGTGTGTTTGTGCCCTGCCACGGCAGGGAAGTTGGTCAGACCAATATTTGTTAAGACGTTTCATGGGAAAAAGAAACAGGAAAATTCTTGAAGTACAGATGAGGCTGCTGGGTTGAGCACCCTGGCCTCCCCGTGGCTGGATTGATCCACGTGCCGCCATGGAAAATGCCCAGGGAGCTCCCGCCCCACTCTGCTGACAAAGATGGGACGTTTTGTATGGCCTCCACCACTGAAGAAAGGTGTGTGTGCAAGGTGCCCAGGAAATCACCCCGGCATGACTTTCTCCTCCTGTATGGTTGAGGAGGTACTTCTCCAGGCAGCCTTCATGATAAAGAGGGGTCTGCATAGACAAATGCTGACAACTACAATTTAGGGAGTCCTCATCACATCAGTGACTACACACTGATCTCATGTAACCATGTGCAAAAGAGCCATGTGCTAGTATTGCCATTTTCCCGTTAAAGAAAGTGAGGTTTAAACCAGTTGAATAACCTCCAAATCCTATAGTTAGTGATGATACTGAGATACTGACATCCAAACTTGGACAGATGAAGTAATTCAAACCAGTGATAACTGTGCTTCCTGGGAACAAATAGATACAGTGCCCTTCTTCTCCACCCCAAGTCGAAAACTACGTCCTTCTACCTTCCAGCCAAAACCTGAGGACTGATTCCCAGATTTGGAGTGCTGACATGAACAAGACCTGGAGCCTGCCTTTAAGAAACTCTTGGAATGTAGCTAATTTAATATGATATAATCAGACACTTTAGAGTCAAGCCAATCTGGGTTTAAGTATTGGCTGTACAGTTTACAGCGAGGAGGGGTTGGACATTGAGAGAAATTTCTAAGGCAAACTCAGCAGGTCTTGCTGATTAAGAGGCTCAAGTTAGCTGACATTACCTTAACCTCTCTAAGCCCCACTTTCTTTATCTATAAAGGGGACAAATACATTGTGTGGAAGGACTGTTGGAAAGATTATATTAGCTAATGTATACAAAGCCATTAGGTGCTTGAAAACAAAAGCTCTCAATAAATAGTTACTACAACAGCTTATTTACACAAGAAAGGATAGACCCGATTAACTCTGCCATTGAAAGACAGCCATCAGGAAAGCCTTCACAGTCAAGGATGTGTAAGAAACAGCAATCTATGAAAGAGTGCATCATATTTGAGAGATGGTGAGCAACTGCTGTGGAATGAAAGATGGAGGGTGTTTGGAGAGGTTGGCAGAGCAGAATATATTGGCCACTGGAAGGCATTGGATTGAAAGCAGGGTGTGACATAGGCAGATAAGCATTTTGAAAAGACCCCTCTGGCTGCATGAATAGGAAAGTAGAGAGAAGGGAAAGAGCCAGTAGCACAGAGACTAGGTAGGGTAGGGTACAGTAGGATAGGATGGGATGGGATGGGATGGGATAGGAAAATAGATAAATGTTTAGGAGGAAGATGGGAACCCCTGCGTTAGGGTCATTGCAATAGTAAGGCTGGATCTGAGTGATATTAAGGAGCTTGACTCAGTAGAACTTGCTAACTAAGAGGCCTGGGGACTTGGGTCTTCCCTTTCCCCTCTGGTGTCTGAGTGTTAGAATGGGCAGAACATGGGACATGTAGTGGTGATAAATCCACTTGGGCTTAATGGACAGTACATGGGTGAGTAATAATTTGTATTATGCAGATGTGGTTATCAGAATATAAGAATGCCAAGAATATCATTTAGCTTTATGTGGAAATCATGCATGGACCTATGTGTAACTACATGAATGTGGTATGACATCCAAATGCAAGTATATGAACCATACTGAGGGGCTGTGTAAAGCCAGTGTAGACTTTTGTGGAAAAGAATGTAGATTTAAGAGTGCTGGATCCTTTCTCCTCATCCTCTTCTCCCTCCCCCTCCTCATCCTCTTCTTCTTCCTCCTCCTTTTTCTCACTTCTAGTCTTGCCTCTATGGTAGAGTGGCTGTGTGGCCTTTAGCAAGCTATTCACCCTCTGTGGGCCTTGGGTTCTCCATATGCCCCCACCACACAGAGGAAGATGTGTCATGGACCTGAGGGATTAAATTAGATGATAACTTAGGTACGATAACATTTTTCACTTCTCTCTCCCTTTTATCTTCACTACCTTCCATTGAAGTTGACAGTGAGAGAATTAATGGCTCCATCTGGCCAATCTAGAGAAGGGTAAGGTCCCAGCAAGTCTGGGGCAGAGTCTGGATCCCCAGCCAACTCCACTGGCCTAAAGACAACTCACATCCCTCTTGTGATCATACAAGACACTCGTTGGTACAGCCTTGGACAAGTGACAACCTCTGTGTGCCTTGGTGTTCTCCTCTGCCAATTAGGGGAAATAATAGCAGCCCTCATAAGATTTTAGTGAGGGTGGGTCAACATATGTCAGATACTTAGAATAGTACCTGGTGTGTAACAAGTACTATAGAAGTGTTAGTTATTATTGTCATTCTTGTACTCAACAACCTACTTTACAGCCACACTGAAAAAATCTCAAACAATGTCCTCTCACACCTTCCCTCTCAGCCTTTGCATATGCTATTCTCTCTGTGGAGAATGCCCTCCCAGCCTACGCAGATCCAGCGAAAATGTCTTTCACTGCCTCCCTAAGACCTCTTGCCTCTCCCAGAAGGAGTTGGTAACTCTTACCTCTGGGGTCTTACAGTGAGGACTTCCCCGCCTCCATTCCAGCATTTTCCTCTCTCAGTGTCATTGTCCCCCATAGGACAATGAGCAACACAAGGGCATGGTCTGGGTAGGATTCTCTTTGTACCCTGGAGTCTTGCACTGGACATAGCTCATGGCTAGCATCCCACAAAATTGAGCTTGATGCCTAGAATGAGGAGACCCTGAGGGAGGATCCCAGGAAGCATATCCCCTGAGAGCAGTGACCTTCCGATTTGCCATCACTGCAGCATATGAGGGCCTGCAGAGAAGGCTGCAGCCAAACAAAACCCATGGGCTTTGTATGGGGGTGTGCTTTTTAATTGGCCTCTGCCCATAAAACTGCCAGACCCTGAAAGGCACTCACTGTCTGTCTGCCTTTGGCAACTTCACTGCCTGTGTTTGTACACGCTATAGCTGAAGTCAAGCTGCCGTTTTCCTGTTTTATGGGAGTTGGCAGCAGGAGAGTACGAGGGGCCACAGGTGTGCTCTGCTGGACAAGTGTGTGTGGGGTGGGGTGGGGGGGTGAGAGAGAGAGAGAGAGAAGGAAGAAAAGGAAGGGAAAGAAAGAGACAAAGAAAGAAAAGAAGGGGGGGCACCGAGGTGGCTCAGTTGGTTGGGTGACTGCTTTCAGCTCGGGTCATGATCCCAGGGTCCTGGGATCGAGCCCCGCATCGGGCTCCCTGCTCAACAGGGGGCCTGTTTCTCCCTCTCGCATTGCTTGTGCTCTCCTGCTCTTTGTCTGCCAAATAAATTAAATAAATAAATAAATAAATAAATAAATAAATAAATAAATAAATAAATAAATAAATAAATAAAATCTTAAGAAAAAGAGAGAAGAAGGAAGGGAGGAGGGAAGGCAGGAAGGCGGGAAGGGAGGTAGGGAGGGAGGAAGGAAGGAAAGAAAGAAAGAAAAGATAAAGAGGCAAGGGAGGAGGTTGTCAGTTCAGGTAGCAGTGAATGCCCCATGGGAGATTTTGCACCCAGCTCTGACACTAAAATGCTGTGGGACCTTGGGCCAGTCTCTCCTCAGTCTTACCCTCAGGGTCTTTTCATGAACAGATTGGTGGGACTGGGACTTCTCTGAAAAATCCTTCTGTTCTAATATTCTAGGATTCTCAAGTCCTCAAGGCCCACAATTGGAAATGGAGGGAATAAACATCCCTTCATATTTGTAGAAGACGCTGATGTTTACCAAGCACATTCCCAGAGAAGTGTTACTTATTTCAGGAAAGTTGCTCTGACCATATACCCCAAATTCAGGATAGGTCCTTCTCCATTTGGTTCTTACCATACCCATACATCTGTGATGCTTCGACCTAACCCTTTGAGTTCTAATTATCCCTTTAAGTTTCTGTTTTCCCTTAAGATGTCACCTCCTCGGTAGGGCCATGTTTTATACGTCCTGTGCCCAGGTCAGGTTGAAGCAGATGTTAGGTGCTCAGGAAACGTGTGCCGATTTGAGTCTTCTAGGACGGGGTTCATGAAGCCTGTCCTATGCAGGCTTTGTACTTTGGTGAGAGGAAACTGAGGCTGGACTTGTGTTCACACAGGGTCTCCCCACCAGAGCAGGTCTTTGGGCATCTCTCTTCTGACCCTGAGAGAAATCCCCTTTAGGCTCTGCCAAGAGGTCCACTCATGGGGTGGCTGTGTTGCCCTGGAGGACCAAGGAGACCGTCTGGGAAGGAACTGGTGAAGTCTGTTCAAATGTGAGGCCTCTGCATTCTCCCCTTGGTC